AGTTATTTCTCCTAAAATTACTAATTTTTAATTAAGAGAAGCCTATTCTCTTATTCTATATATTACTTAGTAAGATCCCTAGAAGCATTAAACTTCTTATTACCCAAGCTCTTAAATAGCTCGAGATTTATTTTATTTATTAAATTATTATATTAGTTATCTAGTAACTTCCCTAGTTTTATTATTAAGTAAGTAAACTTTACCTAGAATACCGGAAATAGCTTATTTCTTTATCTCAGGTATTAGTATATCTCTTTTACTTCCTAGTACTCTATTTTTTTGCTTTTATTATAAGCTTACTAGAGAATCTTAAAGATCTATTTAATAGTTAAGATTTATTCGACTAATTCAGGTTCTAGTTAATTACGGATAAAGTTACAGGTATTTCCGGTAACTAGTTATATTATATAAGTAATTTTTAGTAGTTTACTATTAAATTCAGAGAAGTTCTATATTAGTTTATTTCTTATATTAAATATCTAATTATTAATTTAGTAATTATTCTTACCTATAAATAGGGCGGGATCCTTAATTCTAATAAGTTATAATTAATTACTATAAACTAAAAACAGGAAAGAGCTTTAGTATTAGCTCCCAAATGGTTCTCCTAATAGGGATCTATAGTATTCCTAAATATCTGCCTACTTGGATCTTTACTTTATTACTTCTTCTTATACTAGTCTTTCCCTTATATAAAGTTAACTAGTAATTACCTTTAGCTTATTAACTTTCTTAATAAGTTAGTTAATATATAAGTGGAATTTCTAGTAGTATTTCACTTATTTATTAGTTATAAAATAGTATTTATTAATAAGGTTATCCTATATAAGTAATCTTTACTAGGCCTTATCTATTTTCGAAGTATTTATATTAATTTTAAGTTCTAAGTCAGCTAGTTATTTCTTAATATCTTCTTCTAGAATAATATTATAATAGCTTTCCCGGTAATATAAGTTTATAATATTAAAGTCCGGCTTCTCCGTTTTATTATACTAGGGCCTCTTGTCTAATATACTTATAGTAATAGTACTTGGCCCCGGGCCGTCTATAGTAGCTTTAGAAAGAATATTAGCTATAGAGGTAAGTACTAAGTAAGTTCTTCTTATTTAATATTAGCGAACTATAACTAATTATTATCTTATCTAGTTTTAAGTTAGTAGACTAAAACTAACTATTATTTTTTCTTATTTTAAATTAGTAAACTACTACTAATTCTTCCTATACCAGGAAAGGGAACTAGTTCTTTTACTCTTATTAGTATTAAGGGAATATTATCTGCTCTAGTTAAGGGTTAGGCTCCGAGATTAACCGGATTATAGAGGATAATGTCTTTTTTCTTTTATATTAGTAAAGGACTAATTACTAGAAGGAGAATATTATTTGCTCTAGTTAAGGGTCAGGCTCCGAGATTAACTAGGTTATAGAGGATATTATACTTCTAGTTAAGCTCTCTAGTTCTTTGTAATTCGAGGAGATTATTAAATATTAAAAGCAGTATTTTGTCTTTGCTTTCTAAGAACAAATACGGGTTCTTTACCAGTAGTATTATATTGCCTCTATAGGCCGAGTTAAGTAAGCTTAGTATTATATAATAGCAGGATTAATATAATAGTTAAAGGCTTAAAGTTTAAAGAATCTTATATATTAGAAAATACTAAGCTATAAAATAAAGTAGGAAGAATGCCTTAACCTTTAGTATTATTCTATTCAAGTAATTCTGGCTTAGCTTCGTTTTATATCTGTTTCTAATATCTTGTTCTTAGTAGATTATGCTCTTATACTAGCCATTATACTTTTTAGAAATATATAAAAATATAGTACTAGAAATAAACTTAACTAAAATAGCTTTTACTTTCTTATACTTTTTAGTTTTCTTATATATAGCCTTAATCTACTAATTATTAGTAATATAATATTAAATAAAATAAGTAATATTAATAAAAGAATTATTATAATATATATATACTAATTTCTAAAGCTTTAGTAAGAGCTTCTTATTTAGTTTATATTTAATATCTTAAAAACTAATATTGCCTTTTATAAATAATTATAAAAAAAGAATATAAAACTCCTAAAATACTTAATTAGAATATATTTAAAGCTTATTAAAGTTATAACAAGTATTTTATATCTTATTAGGATTAGAATATAGCTTCTTTAGATAGAAATAGAATTCTAAGAGCTAATAGTACTAATTCGGACTATTTTTATTTATATAAGAATTAGTTAGAATAAGAGTATTATTAGTAAGTTTATTAGAAATATAAATAATCTTAAGAATCTCTAAGAAATATAAATTAGTATTTTCTTATAGCTTATTCTTAATCTAAACTAGCTAGTTATTAAAGATAATATAATTTCTAGTAAAGAGAATTAGATCTGGGAGCTTAATAACTTTAGTATTTCTAAAAGAAATATAAGATATAGGAAATCCTAAATAGAAATAAGTAAGAAATAGTTCGGAATTCTTTTAAGAAAGGTTTAGAATAACTAGAATAAGTAAAATAGAAATAGTTAGAGCTATTATAAGTCGATTTATTATAGTTATATAGTATTTAATATTATTCTTAAATTTAGTATTATAAAGTTTAGTATTCTCGAGAATAGCTTTATTATAACTATAAATATTCTTATATAAAATAGCTTTTTAGATATTTTCCTAATAGTTCTTTATAATAATATTAATATCTGAGAATAAGATATTGGATTTCTTAGCCTATTTATATAATTCTTTAGTAATAATATAGTCTTTAGTTTCTAGAAGCTTTATAATAAAAGCAGAGAATTTTATTTCTATAAACTTATTTATAAATTCTCTAGAAATACTAATAGGATATTTGGTTCGAGAAAGGCTACTAACGGGATAACTTAAACTAGTAGAAGCTTTACTAAAAGCTTTAGTAAAAGTTAATATAGTTTCTAGTTATATAATATTCTAGAAAATTAACTTATTATACTTTTCCTTTATTATATTTTCTCTAGTAATCTTATTACTAATATATATATAGGGCCTATAAGATTATAAAATAGGGCTTAAGAATAGTAATTAGGTTACTAGCCTATAAGTATTTATTACTCTAGAACTTAGTTAAAGAATAGCCTTTATTTAAGGTTCTTTAATTTTCGGGTTTTTAAGAAAAGTTTCTAATATATTACTAGTATATATTTATAAAAATATAAATACCTAATTTCTTTAAGGGTTCTAAAGCTTTTTGCTTTTATTATTCTAGAGTTTATACTTATATTTTTGAGGTTCTATTATCTTAGTAGTATTTATATTTCTAATAATTCTGAATTAGTTTATTTAAAATCCTTTATAGAATTAAAGGAAGTAAGCTTTAAATACTATTACGAATATAGTATTTAAGGCTTGGAAAGTAAGGTAAAAGGTTTCTTATAAAGACGATTTAAAGCTAAGGAAGAGAAAACTAGAATATAGGAGGCTATAAGAAAATATATATATCCTATAATATACTAGTTCTAAAGAGGCTTAGTTTTCTAAATATCTCTAGTATATTTCAAGTATATTTCTCTAGTAAAGCAGCTATATTACGTGTATTTAGGAGGCATCTAATATCTGGTAAGGTATCTCAGATACTAAATATCTGGGAATTATAATAATAAGAAATAGAAAAGAAAGAAAATTAATTAATAATACTTTTATATTTTCTATAATATGAATTAACTTTTAATACTAAAAACCACATACTTAGTATATACTAACCCTAACCCGTAGGGCCTTTATACTTTAATAAATCCTAATATAGAGAGCTCTTATTATTCTCTAATTCCCCGAACTAACCCGGACCCTAATTCCTAACCCTAAGCCCCCTTGCAAGCTTGAGACTAATTTGAACCTTCCTAGTTCATATATAATAGAATATAAGTATTATATATAGGTCTTATATAACCTATATTTACTTAGTTTACTAAATATATCCGAGTTTTTAGCTCTTAATTATTAATATTATATTATATATACCTGTATTTACTATAATAATAAAAAAAGTATATATATTATAATAAGATAGGTATTATAATAATATTAAAGAGCTTAAATTGAGCTAAAGGCTATATATTAAGCTAAAAGTACTAGCTATATACTAAGTTATATATAATAGTACCATATAACTAGTATTATATAATAATATATAAAATATATATCTAAAATATAATTACTATAAAACCTATTTATTTACTTAGCTAGCTATCTCGCTTCTTTAAATAATAATAGTAATTAGCTAAATAAACGAACTATAATAACTTAATACCTCCTTATAGTATAATCTAGTAACCTATAATAATTAGTCTACTAATTATCTATTTCTTTAAAGAAATATAGGGCTAGAATTAAGTTTCCCGATCTAATAATAGCAAATCTCTTTCTTATTATTATTACTACTCTGACTCGAATTAATTCCTCTATTATTTAATATTAATATATATAATTCGCTCGCCTGTCTCTAATTAACTAAGACTTTATAAGAAATTAGTATCTTATTTCGCTTACTAATAAAGGAAGTCCGACCTTTTATATACTAATAATATATATTCTTAATTAGGGTTAAGGAAATATTAGAAATATATCTAACAGGCATTTTTATACTTGGGTTTATTTATATTATTAAGAGGCTTAGGCTATAGAGATATATTAAGGCTTAGAAGTTATATAAAGATTATTTGCAGATAATAAGAAGACTTTAGTAGAATGGTTTTCGTTCCTCTTTCTTTAAGCATTAGCGTCTACGACCGGAGTCCGTCCCTGAATATTAAACTAACTTATCCTGGAGGAGCGGTAACCGGATCGAGATCCAGAAGGGGAGTTTTCGGGCTTTCTCCCGAGGCGGATGGCCTGGAGATCCAAAAGGTGGTCGTACTGGGCTAGTCTGGGGCTGTGGACAGGACTTTCTTGGTTTAGACTATCCCTTTCATATATATCTCCCCAGGCTAAATAATGATAATTAACCTAAAGCTCGATTAGCTAAATAAACGAGCATATGCAGAGTTTGATAATATTGATCAATTTAAGCGATACTATGGATTAACTAAAACCTCCCCTTACCCCTCGTTTCCTCAACTCGAAGAAATAGTTCCTCACTGCCCTCCAAATATTCAACATAACTCTCAATATCCAAACGAACCCAGTCACGAACTTGTTCCCACACCTCGCGGAAAGCGGCTTTCGACAAATTATCCATTACTATCAAATTATTTTTATATAAGTTCCCTATGCAATACGCCCTCCCCCTGCCAAGCAATATCCCTCCCAATCACCTCCTCCTCTCAATATATACACCCCTCCCCCTCCCCACCACCCCTCTACAAAAGCGCCATAACAGCGCCCACAACACCCAACATTCCAACCCCAACCTTCACACTCCCCGCCGCACTCTTCCCCGTCGCCGACGTAGCACTCGCACTGCCCGTACTCGTCCCACTCGGCGTCGAGCTCCCCGTAGCCGTTGAGCTCCCACTCGTACTCGTACTCGCACTCGTCTTCACAGTCGAACTTCCCGTCAGTGTCGTCAATCCAGAAACAGAGGACGTGGTGGATGCGGCTGCGGATGAAACGGTGTTGGTCGAGATGATGGAGAATTGATTCGAGTAGTTGGTTATGGCTGTATTCCCATCATCGACGATCTCGAAGGCGTAGCCTGTGCCTGCTACCAATGTCGTCGGCGGTGTCCACAAAAACGAACCCGAGTTTTGGATTGATGCTATTTCTTGCTGTTAGCATCTCTGCTTCTCTATTCCTTGGGTGGCTCGCAAATTCGCAGGGGAAGGGAAAATGAAAGGTAACGTACGAGCAATCGTCGCAATGGTACTTAGGTGCGTAGGATCGCCTTGCCGTAAGACTAAAGTGATCGTATCTACGGTGCCGGTTGACGGCGCCCAGGTGATGTTTATCGGCGTCCCGGCTGTGACTGAGGTGAGGGTCGTGAACGTGAATGGGTTTTGTGCTGAGGTGAGGGCGGCGAGCGCCGCGATGACGACTGAGGCATATGTTGAGAAGTGCATTTTCGGTGTCTTTCCTTCTTTTTCTTCTCTCTTGAATCGCTCTCTTCAATTATCCCGAATGCAAGTATTAAAAATAGATACTCAAAAATATATCGTGTACGAAGAACAATCACATATAGAGATGTGGACGTAGATGCCAGTGAAGAGAAAACGAGAGAAAGAGCAAACCCAGATGCGCACTCAAGCCACGGAAAGCACGACCCTTTATGCGGCCTCCCAACAGCTTCTCCACTCCCCACGTCTTTTTTCCAAGGTTGAGTTTTAGTTTAGTTTAAGTTTCCTCGTCGGGACAACGAGCCCACCAGTAGCGCCGATCCGCCGACGCCATGGGCAGCCTTCTCCCACTCGATCGCTTGTTTTTTTCGCCCCTTTTCCTGTGGCGCTTGCCACACCTCTCGCTTTCCTTCCCGGGACCCCTCAAAACCCCATCCATCAAACCTTGAAAAGACGAGGGCGGAATACGAGGCCGCCCGAGAATACGACGTTTACGTGTATTGACGTCTCTCCCTTGCTGCTGTATTGGCTTTCTCATGCATGCATGCATGCATAGGCCCAAAAGGTATGCAGGTACGGAAATCCCATGATTTGCCACTCGCTTAACGTAGACTTGGGCAGATATCGCGCCACACACGATCTAGCGTTGACCCTTGCCGATCGCTCCACTCACCATTTTTGCACCGGCCCAGTTTCCACTTTTTTAACCTCGCTTTCTTAACTCTCTCGGTCCGAGGTCTGGGACTTTGCTTGGTCCCGGCTTTCCCTGCAAATATGAACTTTCTCGTGAAGAAGACATTTGAGAAATTTTGAAAGGGGGTGGTGCAGCGTTCAATACTAATGATTTATTTGGCAAGGAAGCGTTGAATACTCGCGTTGAATTTTCGCGTTGAGTATTTGCGATGGTGGCTGACGCAGATACCAGCGCCACCAACAGGTCTGCCCACTTTGAGCCTATTCGGGAGGGGCGAAATCATTATTTTTTGTCGTCGTGCGTGCGTGCGTCATGATTTGCATGGAAGAGTGGGGGAATGGCTAGCATGAATTTATGATATTTTGGGAGGGAGAGGAAGAACTGGCGAAGATCTTGGGGGAGTGACGTTGAAGTGCAGGGGTGAATCCAGGAACCGTGAAACTGCGACATGGTCGCTGCATGAACGGTTGGACCTGGGGATTGTGGGGAGAGGGTTACACCAGTCAACACAGTAGGAGAAAGAGGAAGGGGAGGTGATCTGGTACTTTTTCATTTTATTCATTGAGTTACACTACATACAGCAAACTAAGCAATCCACAAGAATCAAATCTCATCAACACAGGTATATCCTCCCGAGCATCTATCTTTCCTATCCACCATCCAGCCCCGTTATACCTTTCTCTTGTACTATGCAAACGGCAATTAATTGCGCCTCCCATATGCAACCACTATTGCCTGAACCAATCAGCTTGAAAACCTCCCGCTTTCCTATCCGCAACAACGACCTTATTTCCGTTTTCAAATGCGAGCAAATGAAAAATATAGACAGATAATCGCAAGCTATGCATTAAAACCTTCCCCGGCTCTTTTTAGTATATTTAGACATTTCGTAAAAGGTATTGGAAAGAGGTTTAGTTGAGGCTGACCATCGCCGCGAAAGCGAGGAGGATCAGCGCGAGAGGAGAGGCGACGCTCGTTGCGGAGTTTATCTTGGGCGTCGTGCTCGAGCTTGTACTCGTTGGTGAAGAGGACGTCTTGGTCGCTGAAGATGATAGATGGATTAGCATACATACTTTGAGCAGAAAAGGGGGATACCGACTGGTCTTGGTGTTGGTTGTAGATGTAGATGTCGAGTTGCTGGTTGGGGACGGCGTCGCGGAAGAAGTGCTGCCTGTGCTGGTAACAGTTGAGGCAGATCCTCCAGTCAATGCAAATTGCTTGCTGTAGTTTATTAGTTTCGAGGAGGAATCATCAATCTCGAATGCATATTGGCCGGCCGCAAGATTTGTTGAAGGGGTGTAGGGATAGGAAGTTCCGGTCACTCCGCCTACCAGAATATTAGCAATGATTCAATAAAGTATCATAAATCCTTACTCTTGATTGTCTCGACCAGTGAAAGATTGGTGGAGGGCCCGTTCATCAGCTTGAGGGTAACGGGTCCGGAGTTGAGGTCCCATGTGAGGTTCATAACACTGACACCAGCTACATAGGAAGCCGCAAAGAAATCGGCGTTCATTGTGAATTCCACCTGCGCATTGGCGAGCGTGAACGCCGCAGCAGCGACGAGGAACTTGGTGAACTGCATTTTGACGTATGTGAAGGTATTCGAAGTTCGTGGAATCCGAGACCTGGAAACTCGGATTAATCTCCCGGCGCGAACTGCAGAAGCGACGCGACTCGATGCGTGAGGAATGCAATGGCGCTGATCACGTACCTGAGGTAATTTTTGATGGCTTAACTTAGCTTTTGTCTGAATTGGGGGTTCTTTTTTGATGTGTAGCGATCGCGACGTCAAAAAGAGAGGAGGTGGTGAGGGGAGGAGCAGGCTTGTCTGAAATAGAGATTGCGGTTGCTGTGTTTTTGCCAGGGGTCACCGCACAACGGCGATGCATGGGCCCGCTTAACCGCTTTTGGCACCGCACTGCATCGATTGGGCCGATTGTTGCCCCTCTTATTCCTCAGTTGGGGATAGCTTCACTGCGAGTTGCAGGGTCAACGGTGAAGTCTAAAAAACTTGGCCACGGGGTAGAAATTGAGTTGCAGGGGCAACCTGTCCAGGAGACATCTGCTGGTCAGTGATAACAGTTGGAGAAGGTCAGATTTACGACGTCAAATATTTGGCAGGTTTCACGGCTTGTATTTCTTCTTTGTTTCTTGCAACACGGCTGCGGGGGTCCGCGTTCAGGAGTTTGTTGTGTTATGCAGGTACGATTCTCGAAGGCTGCTGTTATTCTTGGACGAAAGCATCGCCACGGCACCTGCCAAGGAGGAAGTTCTTCGAAATTTCACTTTAGGGACGCGCAGCTGCATACCTGATCAAGTGATCGAAGAGATTATGTTGGCCCACTTGCGCAAGTACCTTGTAAATTTACGAGGCATCTTGAACGTCAGTTCTTCAGGACGCGGTTCATGGCACGTGATCGTCGACTCCAGCACGATTCTTGACCTCTGGCAACATCAATGTGCACTTTAGAGCGAGGGTAGTCTCATACTGTGTATTTTCCCTCTCTTTTCATTTCCTTTTGATTTCAATCTTTCATCACGTCGTGGTGCGGAGTCACCCGATCTGAAGAAATATATCCTCACGTGACACCCATCGATTATCCTCTAAATCGGGAATACCAAACCTAAGATGTTAACTTTTTGTTGCACATCACAAGCGCAATTCTGCTGTTTCTGTGTTGGAAACGTTTATCAACCGTTTTATAATCGATTGAAGTATGTTTTTATTGGGTTTGTAGATCACATGACTTTGTCAATCACGTCCCCAATCCACCAATCAGCGAAATAACGAGCGTGATCTCAGATCTTTGTTGCATATCGCACACCTCAGATGTTTAACAAATGTTCCAGCAAATATTTGTCAAATATGTATGTATGGCTTTAGAAGTTCGGCTCAACGTTCTGTGATCAAGTCAGGTAAGCCGTCGAGTTCGGCTCTCAATGGATCAACATGAAGAGATTTCAAAGCCTTCTATCTCGCCTTCATTCTTTCATAGAGGCCACGGCTGCTTATGTCGATGTTGCTGTTGAGTTCGTCGGGAGGAGCTCTTGAGCTCAGTAGCTGTAGGTCGTGACGTGCCGGCATCCTGCCACTTTTTGTTTCCTAAATACTCCCTCAGTCTTGGCCTTTTATCCTCCACATTCACCGAGGGCGCGTAGGCATGTCTTCAGCGTTAGCGGTGGTGGCGATTGGATCCCGCTTATGATGAAACCTCGCGGTATGCACGTAATATGATGCCCACATCCCCTTACAATGAACCTCTTTTCAACCACTCGCATTACTTCTGATTGGTGTAGTACCTCCCTTCGGGCCAGTAATAACTTCCGTACCGCTTTGGGATCTATCAACTTCGAATTTGGTTGGCTGTTTGTGCAAAGTAACTCGGCTCCAGTCTTTGAATAGTTATGGTACATTTCATGAATAGTTCATGCCTCTTAGACAAGACTCCTAGTGTGAGTTGCGTGGTCGTCAGCCGCGGAATTGCTTACACGACGACCACGATTTATTGGTCAGGCATTGAATGAACATGCAATTGCCTCATTCCAGGCTAGGCCTACGAATTTGATCAAGATGTTTGGAATTGCGAAAGCGTAAGAAGGTGCAGAAATCTGGGCGGAGGGGGGCAGCTCTTCTTGGTTGAAAACCCATCTACTCTCCATTGCTTTTCATTTAGTAGTCCAATAAAGCGCCAAAGAATGTCAAAATGCATGCTGTACTTCCATCCATGCATATCCCGGCTTCTGCCTTGTTGCTCCTGCTGGATGTCCAACCCAGTACCGCTTCCCCAGCACCAGCGGAAGCAGAAATAGTGCCTCGTGCACTGCATGGTCATTCCGAGTTTATTCAACGATGGTGCGCAGATTGCGAATCAGCGTTCGGTGTAGCCTATTAGCATATCGCTCTACCACATCACAATTTCTATCCAGTTCAACAATACTCTTGCAATTATATCGTGTCCTTTCCTCCAAGCAACCACCTTATGCACGACCACGAAACTAACCCCACTCACCTACGACTTCTCACCCCAGTCAACAACTCCAGGAACTAGTCCGCGCTGCCTCCCGGAAGAAACATCTGGACCCGAATCCACAAGCAGTAACGTGCCTGGTCCCGGTGCAGAACTAGTTCAAATCCAAGTCGGCTCCAATATCCTCCATATCATTGATGTTGCGGATCCGATTGTCAACAATTCTGTCGGTGGGCATTCCGATCCGGGGAAGTTGAGCTTCGTGTAGGGAGTGAAGGCTGGAATTCGTGGAAACGGAGTAGTTATGCGGTTGTTGCTGGGGATGAGGGGTGGGGGTTTTTGGTTTCTGATGAATAATAGTTGTAGCTTTTAGTGTGATAAGTGAGGGGGTTTTGGCAATGGGTGGTTGAATTTGGGGTTCGTGGTTCATGGCTGCTGGGAAAATATTTGGTTGATTAGGGGGAAGCTTTAGACTATGAGCTTGAGAGTTCTTCCTTATTGAACCCATTTCCAATAAAGTTGAGAATTATCGTTTACTCGATCTATGCAGCTTGTATAAGTTGAGAAAAGATGTAGGCGTTTGCTTTTGTTCATCACGTGGTCAACCCATCGGCTTCCTCAGGTCTCCTTCAATTCTCATCTAACTAGAGGAGAGGATTGAAGTTTCACTGCAATCAATACGCTCCAAGATTGTCCGTTGAATTCGACTCTAATCTGTTTCGTTAAACGTTTGATAGTTTGGAAAGGAGACTCGCCCGAAACTTGTACAACGTGACTCCCTCCGAGATTGAGAACCAATCAATTTAAAGGAGATAAATTTTGTTGCACATCGCACTTCTTACGTTGGTGGAGACTCCCCGGCTATCAAGAAACGTTCCCCTGTCGATTTAGAATCGCTTCGGAATCGAATAAGATGCGAGTCGGTGGCGAATAGGAGGCAACTTTGTGTCAACTCTCCCAAAAAGCAGCCCTGACAACGAATCATTTTAATCGACATAGCTGAGTGTACTCCATACCTCATCTACTGCTAATGCTTTTCAAGCTATATGAAGAATATTTGATGACCACGTCGAAACAAATGCTCCTGGCGGCAGGTGAAAGAGCGAATACATCGTTTCGAAAAGAATAACACTCCTCCCAGCCAGAAACAGCTTAAGAAAAAATGGCTTCCGACCTCTGTCAACTTTCCATTCACACCAAACTGGGAGGACGGAATGAAGCAAAAGAATAAAAACATCACTAGATACGTAGAAACGGTGGTAATACTTGAATAGCGCCAAAGATGCGACTCGATTGTTGTGGGGAAGTCGAAATTCCAAGCTGCGCATTGAATACCACCTAACACCATGATACCCAGTCGGATATCGATAACCAAACAATGGCCGACCTCACCTGAAAGTGAGTCGTTTGGCATGGGCTCATTGTCTGCTAACTTTCGATATTGGCCCGTTGGTGACCGAATAACGAGTTCTCTGACCCCGTAAAGTCGGTGCTGACAACTTTCGTTCTGTAGCTCAGAAAAAGGGTCAAAGGAGTCTGATGGAATCTGGAGTTCGGTGACCGGTCTTATAGCTTGGGGCTTGGCCCACCACAGGAGGTAGGTCAGTAATGTTGAGGCTGCAAATCCACAAGCGGTGATCTCGAATTGTGTACTTGGTAGTCTATTCGCAGCTCTGGCTATTATTTGCACGACTATCCAGCTGACCTGCCCAATAGCTGCTGCTTTTGTAAGCGGATCCCCGTTGCTCAAATCGTTGAGGTGTTCTGCTGTAATCCTTGGAAGGGTTGGAAGCAAGCCATTCCTCCTCAACTCCAATATGTCGGCTGTAGCTACCACTCCGGTCTCCATATTTCTGGCCCCATACGGGCGGATCACGAAGCCGCCCATCTCAGCATAGTAGGCATGGGTTTTCGTCCAATTCGAGATCTCCTCCTCTGACAAGCTTTCGCCATCGAAAGCTTTGAAGCTCTTGACCTGGCCCATTGAACGTCTCGCAAGGCGCATCTCCGCATACGCTTTCGCACCCAAGAATTCCGGAAGAATCAACGTAAAAACCATCCACTTGAACTTGGTGAAAAAGCTCTTCCAAGTCCATTTCAGATCGCCCCGCCAGCCTTGATCTCGACCGTTTCGCTGCTCCGGAACATTGAGGTGCTGCACCGCCCAGATGCAAATGGAGATCGTCAATAAACCGCTCCAGAGAATATCGAACGTTTCGCGTACGTTGGTGCCGGAAACAAGTGTCGTCGTCTCGGTTGGTAAGGTGCAGTTTGTTGAAAATGTGGAGGCTGAGGCGAAGAGCCTTCCCCATATGTGTTTTGGATGGCCTGGAAGCATCGCTTTTTTGTCAAAATCTTAGATAAACTGGATGAGCTTGAGACACCATAGTGTGTAGAGATAGATATAGGCTTATGAAAGAGGAGGAAGAGAGTGAAATTTGTGCGAAGAGAGGTCGTTATGAGGCTGCGGCTGAGCTGAGGCTTAGTCCAGCGCTGTCTCACATTCCCTACCTGTCACGTTTTTCCACGTTTATCCTTGGCCGCCGCTCAAGGGATCAATTGATACCAATCTCAAATACTCAAAATTCGGCTCAGCTGGGTTGTCATCGACTTTGGAGTTTGCTTTCATCTTGATTTGGGCCCTCTAGAACGATATGCTTATTCACTCAGGCCAACACCTAAATTCAGGGGCTCGCTAAAACCAGGTCCAGGATATTGCATCGCTAAAAGTATCACTAACTTACAGCGCAACTCGTCTTTGGTAGCGCATTACGCGCTAAGGTTGTGGCCTCTCGATTGCTAATCAATAAACTGCAAGCCATAATCAATGCTCCACGAACGATTTTATGACCATGATCTCGGTATGCAGTATTAGTGACAGAAACGAGCTCTATCTCTTTAAGCGGTCTTAATTTTGGTTTCTTCAAGTTCCTCGGACAAACTTGTACGGACCAAATCAGCTTTGAAACAAGTCGCGGCAGCTGGCTCCGATGCTTGGCCACCTCAAGCGTTCACAGCAGAAGTGACGCGGACTCAATTCATTGTCCGATTTCCGACCCATGGAAGTAATTCGTTCAATGCTGGTATGAATATCTTTTGCTCGAGGATTGATTGCCAATCATTGAAATCATGTTGTGGTTGCACGAATGGAAACTTCGCTTCGGACGAGATTTGGCGGACGAAGAGAAGTGCTCCAAGGCAGAGCCACCACATTGAAATTATTCCAACAGGGCGGAAATTTCGAAGTCCGAGATTTATAATCACTGGGGAAAACGGTGCGATTTTTTACGGACGAATGTGGACAGGCAGAAAGGCGTACGTCAGGCTTACAAAAATTGGTATGAGGCTCCCAAAGGGACTTGACACCTATAAGGAGCGAGCTGAATCTTGAGTACTAAGCCTATATTTTCCTGTATTTTATTCTCCAAATCCACAGACTTCAAGAATAGACCCACTGAATCGAATAATGTCACATACATCCATTAGCAGCACGACCGAGAAGGTGGCGGATCTCGAGTTCGCAGACAATGGAAACGACACAGGAGATATCGAACGTGAAAAAGAACAAACCACTTTCACCGAAAATACTGGAGATCACCCAAAGGGCTTCAGACTGGCAATGGTGATTCTGGCTCTGGTCCTAAGCGTCTTCTTAGTTGCTCTCGACATGGCAAGTTTACATCCCCACTGGCAAGATTCGCGATTCTGACATTTCACAGACTATTGTAGCAACAGCCATACCTCACATCACCGATGAGTTCCACAGCTTAGACCAGATTGGCTGGTACGGGTCGGCATTCTTCCTCACACTAGCTTCCTTCCAATCCACCTGGGGCAAGGTTTTCAAGTTCTTCCCACTGAAGGCATCATTCATGACCACAATTGCTATTTTCGAACTGGGAAGTTTGATATGTGGTGAGTGGAACACATTCTAGACCAAGGACCGGCAGCTTATTTAATAATAAAGGAGTTGCCCAGAACAGCAGTATGCTCATTGCAGGTAGAGCCATCGCTGGGCTTGGAGCTTCCGGTATCTCCACCGGATGCTACACCATTATTGCGTTCGCAGCACCTCCCCGCTTGAGACCCGCATTTACTGGTATCCTAGGAGCGACATTTGGGGCTGGCAGTGTTGTCGGGCCTCTTTTGGGTGGTGTGTTCACTGATAAGGTCTCTTGGCGCTGGTGGTACGTTCTCACTGCCTTGTGCTCTTGGGCTTAACTGACTTTCAAGTTTCTACATCAATCTCCCAATAGGAGTTCCCTCAATTATCGTCATTCTTTTGCTGTTCAAGACGCCGTCAACAGCCAAGCCTTTGCAAGCCCCACTATTGGAGAAGTTCTTGCAAATGGACTTCACTGGGACTTCCTTGGTCGTGGCAGCGACAATATGCTACCTTCTTGCGATGGAATGGGGAGGCACCACCAAGTCATGGAGCTCAGGGGATATGATTGCCATGTTGGTTCTCTTCCCGGCGCTGATTCTTCTCTTCGTCTTGAACGAATGGTGGCAGGGCGAGAAAGCGCAACTCACCTTTAGGATATTGAAACACAGAACTATGCTGGCAGTCTGCCTCTTTGCTTTCTTGTAAGTTTGTCACCCTTGAATGGTCTTTCCGATACTTATAATATGAAAGCTTTGCTGGGTCTTTTTTCACTTTGCTCTACTACCTGCCAATTTATTTCCAAGCCATCGACGGAGTATCCGCACAAGCATCAGGAGTCCACAATCTTCCTCTCATCATTGCACTGAGTGAGTAACCACGTCCCCAGTTATTTCAACATCCGTACTAAAACTGTTAGCAATCTCGACAGTTGCTTCTGGTGGACTGATATCCGCCTTCGGCCACTATGCTCCAATCCTGTTCACTGGAGGAGTATTGACCACAATTGGCATGGGATTGATCTATACCCTCCAAATCGGCTCGAAATCTTCGCACTGGATTGGCTTCCAAGTATTAGCAGGTTTTGGCGTCGGCTTTGCCTTCCAAGTCCCTCAAATCGTCGCCCAGTCCGTCTGTGACCTTCACGAAGTGTCGCACTTCACAGCCATCAGCCTCTGTAAGTCCACACCCACCAATTCGGAGAAAGGTTATTCATTAACGAGTGGCAGTTTTCCAAATGATGGGCGGTACATACTTCATCTCTGCGGCACAGTCGATTTTTGCGAATAAACTTGTTGATCACTTGAAGGTCAATGTTCCTGAGATTGATCCAACGACGGTGGTTGGACTGGGCGCTACGCAGTTCCGCAGCATGCTACCTTCCACAGCTATATCAGGTGTTGCGTTGTCGTATATGAAAAGTTTGAATATTGTGTTTGTGTTGGCTACTGTATTGGCTGGGGTTGCAACTGTTGTTAGTGTGGTTGCGAGGTGGGAGAAAATTCAGGTCAGGATGTAAGGCCATCAGTGTGGCAACATGGAATAATCCAAGATTGACGGAGAGCGAGTTGTTTGATTCAAGACTGTAACACCAGGCACTGGTTGAGGTGGAATTTCATCTTTCTGGTCATTCATTATAAGCAACGCTATCAGCCAGCTGAACAATTTGCCCTGCAGACATATTCGGTTTTCATGCACCTTTTTGTACCGTCAACTAGCAGAGACACTGCTCCCATCATATTCTCTCATTTTCAAAACAACCAGAACAGTATTATCCTTGCAAGTTCATTTGATAGTCGGTATTCAGCATCCAGCTCCAGTCTTGATCGATATCCATGGCAAGTGCATCTGGGAGTAGAAAATCATGAGGTTCTGCCGAGGAAGGAATCGACTCTATGTTTTGAACATTGTTCGCAAAGGAAAACGCATTGAAAACATCGATACCGATGATCGGGTTCCGAACCTGTTTCCTAACTGTTGATGGCAAGGCCGCTTCTTCCAAATGACTTGCAGGCCCTTGTGTAGTTCCAGTTGCAAAGCTGCTTCCGGGAGTCACGTGCATCGTCCCGAAATAAGGTATAAAGATCTTTCGTCGAGGCGAATTACCTTCAGCTGCAAATTGGCCATTTGAGATCGAGACAAGGGTTTCCAGCGCCTGAAAACACTGAGCGGCGATCAAATTTTCCGGCTCCGCTGTCACGACCCTCAGAACCTCCATAGTCTCATACACCAAATTCCAGTCTTCCGCCTCCTGACCGGTATCCCTTGGTGCTGATGCAGGTCGGTACCCCAGCAAACCAAGAATTAGAATTACTGCTGCCGTGAACGTCTGAAAATCGACGACACGGCAGAGGTTGATCTTTCCGCCAGCTAGCCCGCGCATTCTGATGTATACTCGGACGATCTCGCGGGATCCAGTCAGGCAGGCGGTGCGATTGTAGTTGAATTCATTCGAGGCGGGGCATTGGAGCATGAAGGGGAGGTGGAGATAGGCTTTTGCTTGGTAGTGCCAGAAATGCGTTATTAGGCTCTCATGATTCATGAGGGCATCTTTGATGCTGAAATTCAACGATGTTGCAATGGGATTCCACGAAAGAGGTTCCAAATGGGTTGCGAGCACGTTGAGTTCATGATCAATTTGAATTGTGGTCGATAACAGGGTGGCAATTGAGATTGGCATCGCTTGGTTCCGCTGACTGATCCTGCCGACCAAGATAGCGAGTTTTCTTCTGTAGTCTTCACTGGAGGTGACACCAACAGTTGTTGAAAGGTCTGTCTGAGGTTCCAGGAGTGGCACCATGAAACTTGGCAAGCCTAACATTAGACTGATGTAGGCGTCACACTGCACCAGATGCCACCAAACGTTTTCTCGTCGCTGAGAATGCAGTGACGAAACCGTTGACGCTTGGGACGGAGGTCGGTGTAGCCCCAGCAAAACAGCATGGGAGAGCGCCTTCCTGATGACCGTCCATCCTTTCCGTGGCCGACCGAGATTTCCATAAAATTGGCCTTGTAGTATAATACATTCGATGCCTTCCAAGGACACCGAGATCTCATCGTCGCACACAATCAATCGATCAACAGTCGACACATAGTGCTGCGTCAAGTCGTTGAGGGGCATCGGTAAGTTCAGATGGCCAGTTTCATACTCATTGGGAAGGCATTGCAAACTCATAGCCAACCACGATATCGCACGGCCAATGACAGACGGGTTGTCCTGATTGAGTGCCAGAAAGACGTAGTTCTGAATTGTCATCTTGGGATCCTCGGAGCACATGTATGGATGCAGCGCCCTGAGGAGATCCCACCAGAAGCCACCAGTCTCGAGGATCTCATACATGGCGGAATGTGATGGAAGCAAGTCGGTAAGAGCCTCGCAGATTTTGGTTCTCTTGATTCGCGACTTTCGGAAGTGTGGACTGCTTTCGTAGCTCGCTGGTCTGAGAGAGCCAGTGTTGAACTCCCGGGAGATGGAGTCGTTCAAACCATTGTTCAGTCCGTCTGTGGTGAGAATAGCATTGTCAAATAAGGAAAGTATAGGGAGGTGTTCGGCGGCGGCTGAAGGCAAGGATGAGAGGGGAACTGTTATCTCCGATGAGGTGCGAAACGAAACAGTTGGTTGTGCCGTTCCGTTGGTTTGCTTTTTTGAATCTGCTGGCAGCCTACTCTTATTTGGAGTAACGTCGCTGCATTGCCGCATTGCTGCTAGCTCTTGCTCTATCTGAGAAACCCTCTCACTCAGGTTCAACCTCGCGTGGGTTGGAGGGACGGGTTCGCATTCTGCTTGACTAGCACATCGGATCCCATGTGAAAAGCAAGAAATGCAGGCGGATGGATTGTCTGGGCGAAAGACACAACGAATTTTACGATGCCTGCCTGAAAGAAAAACATTGTCAATATTTGTGGAGCTTTTTCAATGACTAATACCCACATTCAACGCAGCTTCTCGTTCCTTTGCACAGTTCTCAAAGCCGAATGGCATGAAGTGCTTGATGAATCAGACATCGTGAGAAATTTTAGACGGAAGTGAACAATTCAATAGTGGGTCTGGAAGGGCTTTTTGGTGCAGGAGATCGTGTTACAAGATTCTAGCAAAGACGATGTTGGAGTTGAGAAGGCATTTGGGAGGATTACCCAAGCTGCAGATCCCACGTGGGTGGCTTGTTCGGACGAATTTCAACGGACGAAATTTCTGCGGTGATATCAGACATATCACCAAATTATTATTTCTCGGTAGATAGAAGAGAAGCAAGAAGGATGATCTGAGCTTTGAGCTTTCTTAGTCGACATGTTCTTCATCAACTTCTTACTGTGTGCGGGCTTTTGGCCCCCTTTGGTGACAAGCCTTAAAAGCTTCCTCCGGAACGCCACAGTGGCGGCGCGACCCCTATTTTTGCCGAAGACACGTGACTCCTGAGGGACTTAGCGGGCGATATCCAGAGTCTGGCTTTCAGGGCACAGGGAACCCTTCCCTAAACTTCTTGCTAGCTATCGGTGCTGAGTATTTTGAATGATAAGAGGCCTCGGCGCAAAAGGCCAAGCAAGAGCAACCGCTGCAAGGCGTGCCAAGCCGGCGGTTTCCTGTGGAGATTAATTTGAGCTGAACGCCTCATGCAAGGTTTCGATTTCCGGTGTGAAAAATCCCAAAATTGGTCTGCGGTAAGAAACAATCTCATGGAGTTAAGCCACCAAAGCTTTCTTCGGACGTTGTGGCTTCGTAGGATCCTTCGAGGGTCAGATCAAATCTTATTTAATCGAGTGCCTCATGGGTTGTATCGATATCTGCGGAGCAGATTCGCGTTTTCCATCTTCTCATTCAAAGACGAATTAATGATTCAGTGAGGCGGGGGGGAGGGAATCTCAAGGCCTTCAACTTCTTCTTATCGAAATATTAAAAATTGATAGGGGGTCCTCCGTTTGTCCAATAAGGAGGTCCAGAGTCAGGCTTAAGGACGGGTGGGATTTTGGCCTCCTTTCGAAGTTTCAACTCCCACGCCGGCTGAGACTTGAGCACAATGTCAATGACAGATTCAGGAAAATCACTCGGAGGCTTTTACCAACAAACCAAACCTCGAGAGCACCTGCTGGAATAGGGGTGTCACTTGGAAGTTGGAAACCCACCAATACCACTAACAGAGCAACAGGGGTTGCATTTTAAGCTTTCCCCCTCCCCAGCGCTCTCTCATCATCACCATCGATATCTACAACTTCCCATTCAGTTCACAGATCCCTTCGTCCGGTGAGACATTGACAGCGCTAGCGGCCGCATAAATGCGGATGGCTTGATTGGAGGAGACGGTTGTATTCTGACTAAACAGAGGATATTCGCGTGCGGCCGCTAGCGAGCCAATGTCTCACCGGACAAAGGGGTAGTGCATCAATGCCCACAGATGCTTCACGGGATGCTTTTCAATTGCAAGACACTGACTTTTAAATAAAAGTATAACAATTGATTGGTCTCACCCCACAATTTCCACGATGCCGCGCACCCCTATCATGGTGAGCAGTGACATCCTCAGAGCCGAATTGGTACACACTACTCACACTTACTCGCGCCGAACGAAAATACTCGACCAGCAACCTCACGCCGCAACCCGCACGGTCGGGAAGTCCTCTAACATAATGTACTTGCGTAAGTCATGCGCCCAGGCCTGTCATTTCATCCCCACAGGTCAAGGAGATTTTATAAGGACATCTTTGTCCCTTGTTAGACACACCCGAGCCAACGTCGCCGTACCATTTCGAAAATCCACTTCATGATTCTCGTCTCTTCATTTGCTGTTAGATAGCCATGAAGTTGTTTCAATTCCTCGGGCTTGCAATGCCAGTCTTGGTCAATGCCCTTGCTGCGACCGACGAGCCTCAAAGCGCAGTATGTTCACATCTTCCTCCCCTATTCAAGCGTCAGTTTTGACATTTGGATTGCCATTAGGACCCACCTCAATCAGGCTACCTACCTAATCACAACCTTGCTCCCTCCACGCTCGCGGGTTTCGCTAAGAAATGGAATTTGAAATTCAACAGCAATGAGAAACTATATTCCATGCCCGTAGTCTATACCCCGAGTGGAAGCACACAGGAGCTTGTTATCATAGGCTCCATCCAGAACGTCGTGCGGGTTGTTGACAGTGCTACTGGACAACTTGTCAAAATCCGGACTCTCGACGCTCCTTACATCTCATCTGATTCCAATTGCAATGACGGTGCCACAGTCGGTATCACCGGCACCCCTGTCATCGAGTAAGGTTTATTTACCTACTGATTTACTGTTATCTTACCAGAGCCAGGAAGCTGTGAGCTGTGTCAGGAGACAAGGCCACTTCTTTGTTCCCACCATTTTTTGAGAATGTAACAGAGCTAATTTGTTGGGTAGCCCAGCCACCGATATCATGTACCTTTTTTCGAAGGGCTATATGAACGGCCTCGCGGGACCCCAAGGTGTGGCAAACGGTTCGGCCTCCACTATAAAAGATCCAGTCTGTTTCATGATACTTGCTGACGTGAAGGCTAGGCGCGTATAAAATGTGGGCGCTCCACATCCCGGACTTGACCGTCGTCCCCGGCTATCCCGTCCTCATTCAGGGCCCCGCCTCCAACGACCCCACAAAATACTTCAATGGCGGCGAAATCTTGCAGAGACCCGGCCTCACAATGATCGGCGACTCTATCATTGCAGGGTTTGGAGGACACTGTGATAGCATGAACTATGTAAGTTGTCTCCTTTCTCTTCTCATACTATTGTGGTGGAGGTACTCTCGAAGTGTCTCTCTCTTTTGGGCATAAGCTGTGTTCTTTGACGTATACTGATTCCGAGGTTCTGGAATCTAGACTGGAATTCTGCTCACAGTCAGCAAAACTACGGGGCAAATGCAAGATCAGATGGTAATGATGGCAAGCCCAGGTGAGCAGTTCATGGACAGCCCAAAACAATCACCGTAGTGTTGACTTTATCGCGCACAGGGTCTCCATGGGCGCCGGATCTCCAAGCCGGAAAAGGTGGCAAAGCCGGGATTTGGCAATCGGGAATGGCCATCGCTGCGGACCTGGACAAGAATCGAGTCTTCTTTGCGACAGGGTAAGGTCTCTAAAGTCTCTTTAGGGTATTAGACAATCTCACGCAGATGACAGCAACTCAGATGTCAATGGTGATCTCGGGGGTATCAACGGAGCTCCACATTCCGGGAAAGTTCCCATCAGCACGTTGGGCCAGGCCATCGCAAATATTGGTGTCGATCCCGTTAGCGGAAATCTAACACAGCAGGACTTCTTCGTCCCCGTCGGCTACGCCAAACTTAACTCTGGCGACAAAGATTTCTCTGCTGGTGGTGTCAGCCTGCTTGACCCCACCGTCTTCAATGGAGGCGGTGTCAACAGGGTCGCTCTAGGAACCAGCAAAGTAGGAACTCTCTATGTGATGGATGCTGAAAACCTTGGCGGCTACAAGCAGGGTAAGTACGGCACCAGCGAAATATAACATCTGTTAATTCGAAACGAACAGGACCCGGCGGTACTACTGACGGAAGTAAGCGCTGACGAATTGCGAGAGTCCTTTATGAATCCTGCTAACTTAGAGAAGTTCTCCAAACGATCGTTCCTCCAAAGGGATCGTTCTACAGTGGCGCTGGCAGCTACCCCGCGGAAGGTGGTTATATCTAGTATGCAAATCTCTACATTGTTGCAGATCACCAGGTTGAACGAGAACAGCTTCTGCCACACCGGTGCTCCTCTGCAAGCGTGGAGGTTGACACCTGATGCTTCCGGCAAACCAAACTTCAAGTTCGCTGGGCAGTCCGCCCTTTCCGTCGGTTGCCACGGCACTCCTACCGTAACCAGCCAAAACGGGGTTGCTGGCACTGGCATCGTAGGTACTCCCTCTACTCGCCTTCAGGCCATTGCTCATAGGCACCTTTCCAGGTCTGGCTCTCCGATACCACCAAGGGGTTGATAGCTTTCAATGCCGTGCCCAACGGCAGCAGTGTCTTGACTCAAATCACGGTTCCAGGAAGCGGTGGTCTGACCAAGTTCCATCGTCCCGTTTTCGGAAACAACAATGGTAAGAAACCGAATCACCTTCATCTTACTCCTTCTGGTCTTCACACAGCCCGTGCGGCATTTCTGGCTCACGCTATAAATCTAAATAGGACACTGCTGACTCCCTCCTGCCTTAGTTTTCGTTACAACAAGCAACCATCTCATCGCCATCGGTGGCCCCAAACTGTAGACTTGCATGCTAATATATCCCCCTCTATGGCGTCCAACGGTGCTTGGGAACTCTAGGCTTGCTAGCTGATCGTTGAGTATTATACTATGATCACTGCGGGCAAGTAATGGAGGTTGATGTAATCTTAACTGTGTATCTCGTAATCTAATTTTGTATCTGCCAAGCGTATTGGTAGTTTATCATGTCTTGGTTGGAAAATATCTCTGGATTCATAACGTGAAAAGCAGTGATTGTTAAAGCTCGTCCGAGCGAGTGTATCGAAACAGCTTCAAAAACCCCTCATTCCCCGTCCCTCTTACATCTACACTCCCAAACCCATTAAACACCTTCGCAATTCCAAGATAAAGTTCCGCATATGGCAAGTCAATCCCAATACGAAGATCACGGCATAAAGTGACGGGAATTATAGGACAATTTAGTTACCAAGTGCGCTAGAAACAGACACTCAAGTGCCGTTAAAGCACAAATTCCCTGTAATCCCGTTTCTTTATGCCGTGATCTTCGTAGTGCGGGGCAGCCCGAACACTTGGCAAGGTCATGCCACACCAGGGAAGGCTTTTCATTGCAAAGTGGTTCCTCGTACTTCTTGCTCTCAAAACTATGTCTTAAGGAGCCAAACCATGTTTATCAAAAGCTAAAGTCACCCATCAAACCCCCTAACGCCCAAAGCCCAAAATTCGCCCATTTCATTAAGATTCGAAAGATATCATTCACCGCTGCCACCTGTCTCGCTTATTAGCCGAGACCCTCGAATTCCCTCTTAACACCTCCAAATACCTGGCGAGTTGCTAAATGATCCATTAAGAAGAGTATTGCAAATAGCAAGGAACAGTGATTTTGCATAAATGGTTGTCTGATTAAAAGAAGCTCTGAAGGGAGCCTCTGGATCTAGCTAAATAAAGGGGCCGCTGAGTAAGCGAAGCTAAGCTCCCTAGTACCCGTATCCGTACGACAAAGAGGAATACCAACGTTATGAGAGAGTATCGGAGATTCCGGATTGCTGAAGGAGAGCGAACTTACCGCAATGAAAGGGTTCAAGTTTGGAACTGTTGGGGTGAATATTCGATTTTCCTCCGATACGACAATTTCATGGAAGTGGAAGTGAAGCCCAACAGATTATTTCTCTATGACTATTTACAGGCAACAGCGTGTTAACAGCGTGTCGTGATAATACAACAGTGTTGCAGAATAAGCTACATGGTAGAGAAGCAACGAGGAATCATCTCTCTCGCCAGCTCTAAAGTCGTACAAAACCAGGAGCCCCAAAGCAAAACCAGCAACGCTATGTAAAACCAACGAGTTAGTATGTCTCCATCACTCCCCAAATCTTACAAAATCATATGTTCCATGGCAAAAAAGAGAAAAGTATCCTTCTATCATCCACATATGCAAAAACCAACGAGTAAATGATCCCCCCATCATGCCATTCGTAGATGTCGTACAGTAGAATAATTGATGTCAAACTGTGGTAAAGTAACGCATCCAAGAAACAGACGCAAGACTCGGGTAAAAATGCTCCTGAAATGCTTCCTAACCAACCGCACATACGTCGAAATTTCAAATTTGTACACTTCAGCAGCAGATCTCCCCAGCTGTCCCTCCAGGACCCAAGCTACTTCTTCTTTTTCTTCTGCTGCTTGTCCTTGGGGGGCCGAGGCATGTCGCGACCACTGCTACTATTGCCTCTTTCCGGCTGGGTCCGCTTCGTTCCGCCCTTTGAAGTCGGTGCTGGTTGTGGCTGACCGATACTCTGCCCAGGAAATTGTGCTTGAGAACCGGATTGAATTGAAGGGCCTGGTTGAATTGATGGCTATTCCCCCTGGCCAATGTGCTGCGCTGTTCTAAACTGCTGCGGGATTTGGGCAGGAGCACGTGCGATCAAGTTTGATTGCTGAGTCCATTGGCTCTGCTGCTGAGCTAGCTGGGTTGGGGGTGGATGACCGCTACTCGGCACAGCGAGTTGTGATTGAGAAGAGGATTGCATTGAGCCAGTTTGCATGGATGAACTTGGCTGGTATTGCGGATGTGGATGTTGGGCTTCCGGTGCAAACCCTCGGTTCTGCATTGATGGGCCAGATTCAACCGACGACCTTTCATATTCTTGGTGCTGCTGTTTGCCGTGGTCTACGCCTTGACGCTTCAACTGGACTAGCTTGTTTTGAACCGCATTCCCGGTCCTTCACTGAGAAAGTTGTTGCCCTATGTCGTTATAGGTGACACCCTGTCGAGCTAAGTCTAAGAGGATTGTTACATCATTTGGGGTCCATCGGTAGGCTTCCTTTTCCTTCCCATGTTCTCCCCATTCTCTCCGTACTTGTTTCTTTTTCTCTCTCCGGATCTTCTGGATTGTAATCACCCTCTCAGTGTTCTTAGCCTGGATGCAATAGCTACGCGAGTCCTATTTTCAAAATACGTCACCATTGTCAAAGTGGTCTTCTTTTCACGTTGGAATTCCCAAAGAAGTTCATGTGCTTGTTCGTAGGCAAAAGTTTGGTCGTCCATCCAACCTGGTCCGAACCCTTGTACATGGCTTTGAGTTCCGGGGTGAGGCCGTAGATAGAGTTGCAGTTGTTGTCTCTGTGGTTGTGGAGGAGCATACCCACCTCCAGGAAATGCACCAAAGTGGTGTGGTGGTGGCCCCATACTGCTTCCGGTATGAAGCCGTTGCGTTTGCTCTGCTAAAGTAGTCATAGGATCTTATTCCGTCTTGGATGGTTGGCTGCCGTGATGACTGAAAAGGTTGCCCAACCTGCCATTATAATCACCTTGCTGATGCCCGCCACCACCAGAATGTAGGTGACTTTTCTGAATGTGCCCAACATGTGTGGTTGAGTTTGGTGTAACTCCCACAGAAGAATTCAGCCGGATCATACAAGAGGTCATTGTAATCGACAATAAAATCATACAGATACTTGTGTGGGTCCAAGCACCTCTTACAAGGGCCAGGTATCTCGTTGTACGGTGCCCATACCGTGCATCTCAGTAAATTAAGCTCCTTGTCACCGTGTTTTCCACATAAGAATACGATTTCCCTGCCATCGAAGGGTTCCAAGTGTTTTCTCTTATCGTTTTCAAACTCGGGGGGCCTTTTGCAGTCCGGATAGTAGCGGAGATGCACTACACACTCGGCACATTTTTCCGTAACTGCCATAGCTGTCGAGTCTTGAAACAAGCCGTATCAAGCTCCTGAGTCTCAGGTTTTGCTTCCGCTCTTGAAGTATTAATCTGCTATGCTTTGTAGATATTGTCGCGTTGATTTAGATTTCGAAGGAGGTAGTGACCGCTTTCTGTTGTGTGTGGAAGTTTTTGTTGTAAACTTTACTATTGTGAAAGTTGAAAGATTGAGGGCGGTGTTGCGCTATGCAGAACAGGATATCATGTTTGGTATAGACCCCGGGTAGAGGGGCCTTCATCTCTTTGCGGGAGAACGTTAATATTGTCTTAAAGATAGGTGGCAAGGGAACTGGCGATGCTGTATGGAGGTATTCTGAACTCATAACGCGGTGGTGAGAGTTTCTTCAGTGAGGGGGATTTTGCTGTCTTCGAAGTAGTGGTAGAAGAAGGTGATGATCTTGTAGAGAAGGAATGTCCTGGAGGTGGAAGTGTTGGAGTTATAGTAACTTCTCCGTGTGGAGGAAGAGGAACTGTGCGCCGCCTACGAAGCTGAATTCAATCGGAGCGATAAAGCGGTACCGATTCCCTGTTATCTTAAGGTGGAAACCAAGAGGTGGTACTGCAGAAGTAAGATGCGTATGCTAGCCTTAAAAAAAAAATGCAAAAGATGATAGTGCAACCTTTTTGCGTGGAAGGTAGATCTGTTATGCGTGACTATGAAAGTAGGTGCAGGTGGTAAGGAAGGAAGTTGTTCAGGAGCGAGAAAGTCGCGGTTTTATATTCGAGCCTCAGCTGATATTATGAGGCTGTGAATCCACCATCCTGAGAGAATTTCGCATATGCTGTAATCGAATGCCTTGGGCAAAGAGAATCATTCACAAATACCGGGATTTTGGGGACTGCAGCGGGGTGGTGATTCATTCAAACTGACAGACTAGAATGCTTGAACTTCAAAATTACTGGTCAATTAATCACAATTTGCATGTATTGACTGGAGTGCTATTGAATTGGGTTAATCAATTTTTGATTCTCTTTCACTGAGATCCCCTAGCCAGTGCCTCGTTACTAGAAGGTATCATCACTACTAACACATGAACTTCACCTCAAATACAATACCCCTTCAACTTCTTGCGTGGAGCAGCACCCCCTATCTCAAGATTACGCCTTCGTACAGCAGCGAGAATAGAGAGAGGACCTATTCGAGAAACCCACTACCTTTCCTTCATCTACACAACAAATACTGCAGTACCCTTCTCGAGACATTAATACATCTCCCTCCTCCACTTTCAACAACAAACACAGTCTTCAATATCACCTTCTTCATAGTGAACAAAGGATCGATATCCGCGCATAGAAGAGGAACAGATATACTTTAGTACTAATACATTAGTATTATTTGCGCGCCCACATTACGCCATGTCGCGTGAACAAAGCCAAGAATTTGAAGATCTAGTAGATTTATCAGGAAGGATTAGGGAGAGCCGATTACATCCCGGTGCAGAGACACAGGAAATGGGGCGTCGGAGTGGCCAGGAAAGTCACTATAGTCATGGTAGTCGTGTAAGTAGTCTGTTTGGGGGCATGCTCAGTCATTCTCGAGAGCATTCGATGGGAGCGCATGAGAGGGTGACCTTGGAAGAGAGGATGAGGACTCTCACGACTACCAGTGATAATATGGGAGACCATCGGCCGCAATCCCGAGCACCGCCTAGCGGGGAACCGGCTATTTCAGACTTATTTCTCGAGAAGGAAAGTGAGCGGGCGCAGGTTAAAGAAGAGCATAGACAAGAGCGGCGAAAGAGGGAACAAACTCTAGGTCGTGCCGATCCTTCTAAAAGGGCGAGAGTTCGCTGGACATCAGATGAAGTGAAACTTCTTCTAGAAAAAAGTGAAGAAGGTAAACAAATCCCTGAAATTGCAAGGGATTACTGGGGCCCTGGTAGACGAGATGGTCATTGGCCGCTTAGGACAGCAGACGCCTGTGCAAATAAGCTAAGGGAGTTGAAAAAGAAGCGTCCGGAGAACCGGCCTCTGGAGGGACCGTCACCACCTCTCCAAAAGTCACCTTCTCCAGAAGGGTCGCCAAAATTAGCTGTTCTAACCGAGCAACAGAAGGAATTTTACGACAGCGTTTGTCGTAATTTGTCCTCGTTCCCACGGTGTGGAGCTTGCTTCGAGGTTGCAGGACCTTGCGGCAAGAGAGAGCCAAAATGCCCTCGTTGTGCCAACAGAATGCTGATATGCAGAGATGTCACCAAGACCGAAATTCGTCGGTATCTTCAAAGAGCAGCCAAAATACTCAACGTGGAAATAGAGAAAGTAAAAAGAAAAAGTCCACAAAAGAAGCAATCAGGCAAAGACGACGGATTAACAACAAAGGATGACGAAGAGATTCTTAAAATGAATGCACGAAAGGAAGCAGGTGAAAAGATTACTTTTACGGACATGGGGAGAAGACTGGGGAATAGGTCAGGAGCTGCTATCTCTAAACGGTTGAAGATTCTGAAACGGCAGCAAAACGCGCTAGAGATAGTTCAGCAGCAACAGCAACAGCAACAGCAGCTACCACCTAGACGGGAGGAAGGAATGCATAGAGGTCATAATACTTATTCCTTAGGGCAAGTGGGATCGATGCGTCAAAGTCATGCTGAACGCCCCCAATATGTGGGTCAAAGTTTTCAGTCTCCACCCCAAATTCGTCACCAATCGCCAGGGCACTTAACAGATGAACAGATTGCGCGAGGACGAGCGTTGATGGCAGAGAGTCCGCCGGGGCAGCAACATCCATCGCTAGGCATGGCAGATGACGACATTGCTCGTTTAGAGGCTTTCAACCAAGAACACCCAACCCAACAGCAACGTGGTTCAACTCCGCAGTCGTCTCAGTCTGCCGCTGCGCATGCACCCCTATCTCATTCGCACCCGCCGGCACAACAACATAGACCAACACAGCAGCCGGCCAGTCCAGGGAAGCGCCCCCGGCGCAGTGTGGGCTCCGATAAGCTCGATAAGCGATAATTAGATAATCGCGCTAATTTGTTGATAATCGATAATTATCAATAATTGGCGATAATTATCGTTCTAGGCAATGAGGGGCCCGGCAGAATCTGCCCCTCCTGCTCTCTGTTCTAATTAATTAATTAATTAATTAATCTTTATACTAGTTCTTTAAAGAATATAACTAATTTAAGATATATTAAAAAAGTAATAATTTGAGTTATTACTTTATTAATCTAATAGCTAGCTAACTGCTTTGCCTTAGACAGTGTGTCAAATGAATAGATTAGATTAGAATACTAGCTAGTAATCTAATTTATTCATCAAAAATACCCACTAATTATATTCTAATCAGATTCTAATTGAGGTAATCATGAATATTCATGAATACTTTGATTACTATACACGTGATTGTCTCACGTGATATACTAACCTAATTAGGTATGGCTCCCGATCTAGCATCGTCTTTGCATGGCTTTCGACCCACTAATTAGGCAGCGAGGTGGCGCTAAGGAGACACTAGAGCGGGATCTCTACTTAATTAGGCTAGAGTATCACGTGCTATAGTCACGTGCAGAGTAATCAAAGTATTCATGAATATTCATGATTATATATTCTAATCTAATCAAATTATTTAAGCATTGCGGTAATTATATTCTATTTAAGCTAATCATGAATATTCATAAATATTTGGAATACCTTAATTACTTTTTTAATATACTGGCCTTAGATATAAAGATTAATTCCCTAATACCTGACCTAGTTACTTTACTAGTAACCCAAGTAAACTAACTATCCTATAATACTACTATAAGGCATTTGCTAACCTTACTAATGCCTATTATTCCTAATCTCATTCATTAGACTAGTTTTATATCCTTTTTCTAGATAGTAACCCGCTTTATATAAATAGCTATAAGTATTACGCTTTACTACTTCACTGGTAAATTTAGCGTCACGTGATCGCGATGACGCATGCGGCTAGCTAGTATTTAGAACACCAAAGCTCCTGTATATACGAGCTTCCCTCCTTAGTTTAGAATCCTCGGATTAAGAGCCACTTTACCTGCTTTCCAAGCCCAGAGCCCGGTTTCGTGATATTAAGGTTCGTTACTAGAATTAGATTAATATAAAAATTAGTATAATTAAGAAAAATGACTTATATTTAAACTCTGTAATAAGAAGCGCCTCTGCAAACTCTTATAAAGTATATAAAGCCAAAGTATAGATATATATATCTTATTTATTTTCTTGAGTCAAAATCTCCTTTACTAATTAATAAAATAATATCTTTGAAATTAATAAATTAGTATTTCTCTAATATTTTCTGATTTCTTAAAAGGCCTTAGCTATAAATCCAGTTAGTAGATATACTAATATTTTTACTAATTAACTAATTACTAGGTCTAAACTTATATTTTCTCTTCTTTTATATAATAGTAATAATATGGCCTTTTTTACTAAGTATCTTTCTTAAAGCCTTGTCTATAATAGCCTTCCTATAAATAATATACTTACTATTAGTTTACTTAGTTCATATTATAGTTAAATAATTAACTAGAGATTATAATTACTATATCTTAATTAGTATAGTAATTAATATAAATTAAGAAATATTTTATAAAAAGAGTTAATTAAGGAATTAAAGTAATATAATTAAAGAAAAGATATTAGCTAAGATAAAGTAATAGGAAAAAGTAAAGTAATAGCTTAAAATTTTTTTTATATATCTTAAAAGTAAATTATTTTATATTATAAAATCAATTTTATTTTACCTTATCTTATTTACTTTTTAATTTCTTCTTAATTACTTAATTATATTACTATATAACTTTATATAATAACCTATAAGTTAGTATTCTAATATACTAATTAATTTACTAATTTCTATATAAATTATTCTTATAGTATATTCTATAATAATAAACTATAATTAGTAATTATTATTAAATTATTTCTAGAACCTAAGGTAAGTTTATATTTATATTATATTAATCTTTATACTAATTATAATATTATAAGATAATAGCTATATTAATA